GGAGACGTTGTGAGCAATAAATTGCGAGTTGTCTTAGATTTTGGCCAAAAGTCAAGTGAAGGAGAATTCAATGGAATTGATTCTGTGGTCAGAGGAGTGGAGGTAAATATCAATCAATTTATATTTTAAAACTGTAAGAATTAATTATTAAATTTTGTAATTGAATAGCATTTACAGTCCGGACGTAATACTGGAAAAGTTGTCATCAAAATACAAAATCCTTAAAAATAGTGTATTTTTGAATAAAAATAAAACAATAAAAACTAATTTTTATTTGAATTGAATTTTTGTAATCTTTACTAAATTATTATTCAATTAATATGTGAAATTTGCAATAATAATAAAACATGAAAATTTTTGTTTAATTAAACATTAAAAGTGTCTTTACCATGTTAATTCAAAGATAAGTTGATTTACTTAGAATACATTTAAAGATTAGTTGTAATATTAATATTTTATAGTTATTTAAAAACAACATGGTCGTATTTTAAGTTAATTTTAGCGTATAAAGATTTCAATAAAAATAAAAACAATCTGAAGTATTTATTATATTACTGATATTTTTTTGTGTGATTAGGTTAATTAAATATTATGAAGCACATGAAGGTTACTGATTAAAGCTTTTACAGAACTTGCACTGCAATTATTGCACTACAGTTTAAACGACCGAAAACAACCATGTAATACATGTAGAATTACTATACTGTAGTAATTCACGTTATAAGTTATAACTAATATTTGTGTTTTGGTACATTATGCACCAGACATCAAATGATGCATTTCATAAATATTATAAATTGTTTTAAAAAAATATGATTTTGAAAATTGTTTAAATAGAAAGTGATTTGTAGTAAACATTTATTTTATAGTTTCATTCAGTTTTGTTTACCAATTCTTTAAGCACTTATAGTTTATATGAAAAATGGCTAAAACTTATAAAAAGTTGGTTATCGTTAAGAGGACGACAAACTTTAGGGAAGCGGTAAAAGTATTGTGCGAACCATTGGTTCCGCCACAAGACAACGAGATACTCGTGAAGACGGTCTACGCGGGGGTCAACGCAACTGATGTCATAACATATCAATTTGGAGGAAATGGAGTCGGATATGAGGTATGACTGTCAACACACTTGTAAACCGTATTACAAATACAATATAGACTTTAATACTTATTTTTAATAATTTTTTATTGAAAGGCATTGGGAGTGATTGAAGCCGTGGGCAAAAATGTTACTGATTTTACAGCCGGACAGACAGTCATATTCCTATTTGGCGTCGATTATAATTTCAGAGGATTCTCTGAATATATAGTATGTTATTATAAACTATTTATTTATGTTCATTTTTCTCAAATAATTTTTGATTTAATTGACATCAAAAGTACGCTAAGAGTGAAGAACTAACTGCAGTCCCTTGTCTTAAACCGGAGTTACTATCACTACCTGTTTGTGGTATAACAGCTGCCATTGGATTGGATAACGTATTTAATTATATTATTATTATTTTAATTAAAGTTAATATTTATTTTAATACATTTATAAACTAAAGGCCGGATTTATTAAGAAAACTGACAAAGTATTAGTGACTGCAGCCGCCGGTGGCACTGGTATGGTAGCCGTCCAGTGGGCCAAACAAAAAGGGTGTTATGTTATAGGAATGACATCAACTGAAGAGAAGGTTACATTTCTTAAAGAGTTGGGAACCGATCGAGTGATTAATTATAAGACTGAAAATTTGGATGAAGTGCTCACTAAAGAATTTCCGGTATTATATGCTATTAATAACATTCACGTTAATTAAAACTAATTATATTTAATTTCCAATATAATAGGAAGGAGTGGATGTGATTTGGGAGACAATCGGTGGTCAAGTATTTGAGACTCTATTTAAACATTTGGCACTAAAGGGTCGACTAGTTTTGATTGGAGGAACCGCTTCTTATAAATCTGAGACAAACGATGTGAACAATACACTCAATATTCCCAACGCCTCTAACGTATGATTTTCTAAAATTGCTATTAATTTAATTGCAATTATAATTGTTGATTAACTTTTTAATTAATAGCTACTTAGAATGAACCAGATGCTTTCTGGATTTTTCATTTGGCACAATCGGCACTTGTTTCCCAAATATATGCCACAATTAGTTGAAGACGTTGTGAGCAATAAATTGAAAGTTAGGCAGCTAAACCCTGAGTTGTGTTCACTTCCTCTTAAGTTTCCTTAACTAAGACACCAGTCTCCTCACCTCCATTTGTAGTTACTTTAGTTTACAAACTTATAATTAACAATAATATTAATAATTATCAATTGAACACATTTTTATACATTTCATAGCATTTACAGTCCGGACGTAATATTGGAAAAGTTGTCATCAAAATACAAGATTTGTAATTTAATCATGTCTAATTAAATGTAATACCCTTTGTATTAGAATTTTTATATGCTCTGTAATGTCTTAAATTATCATCAAAATAAAATAAAGTTTTGAGAATTACTAATCATTTTATTATAAATAATTAACGATTTTGTCTGACATTATTTGCTTTATATAATTTAGAATTTGAAAATTAATATTTTATGACCTATCTTTATTAAACATAAAATAATTAAACCTTTTAAATGTTTTAATTGATTCAATTGCAAATGCATATAATTATTGCATAATACAACATGTGCTGCGATAGAATTACATTTATAATTTATAAAGATAAACAGCACAATCACTCGCACACCCCCTTACCGTATCAGTGCGTACGACCGAAACGACCGAGAGTTTTGCTCTGTAACATGAATTTGCAGTGTTNGACAGACGGTGTTATTTGTGTTTGGAGATGATCTTAATATGAGAGCTTATGCTGAATATATAGTGTGTATTATTTGCAACAATTATTTATTAATGTAAATAAACATTAAATTATATATATTTTTTTTATAAAAAAATGTTTAAAAGTACGCTAAGAGTGAGGAATTAACACCAGTTCCGAGTCTTAAGCCAGAGTTCATAGCATTACCTGTCAATGCAATGACTGCCTCTATTGGATTGGATGTGGTATTATTCATATAATTATTATTAATTAAATAATATTAAAATGATTTATTTTATTCAAATTAATTAAAGGCCGGATTTATTAAGAAAACTGATAAAGTATTAGTGACCGCAGCCGCCGGTGGAACCGGTCTGATGGCTGTCCAATGGGCCAAACAGAAGGGCTCATATGTTATAGGTATGACATCAACAGAGGAGAAGACAAAGTTGTTAAAAGAGTTGGGAACCGATCGAGTGATCAATTATAAGACAGAGAATTTGGATGAAGTGCTAACCAAAGAGTTTCCGGTTTTATATTCAATTTAATGTTAAATTTTTAAGACTAATTTTGTATTAAATTTAATGTTAATAGGAAGGAGTGGATGTGATTTGGGAGACAATCGGTGGTCAAGTATTGGTGAATCTGTATAACCATTTGGCACCAATGGGTCGACTGGTTATAGTCGGCGGAACTCCTAATTATAAGGATGAGGACAATAACGATAATATTCTCAAAATTCCTGATCTCGCACTTAGAGTATAAATTAACATAAAGTTTACTTTAATTATTGTTAAATACTTTTACTTTTATAGCTTTTGAGAGAAAATCAAATGCTGTCTGGATTTCTATTTTACAAACACAGAAATTTATTTCCCAATTACTTAAAACAATTGGTTGAAGACGTTATGAATAACAAATTGCGAGTTGTCTTAGATTTTGGCCAAAAGTCAAGTGAAGGAGAATTCAATGGAATTGATTCTGTGGTCAGAGGAGTGGAGGTATGAATAATATTTCATAATTATTTTAAACTAATTTTAATAAAATTAATTAAAAAAATTAATAATGTTATTATATTTTGTATAATAGTATTTACATTCTGGGCGTAACATTGGAAAAGTAATCGTTAAAATACAAAATCCGTAAAATAAATGTTGATGTACTGTAAAGTTTACAATTGCATTGTATTCAGTCATTCTTATATATTTAAAATTGTGATCTTCATTATTAAATTTGTTTAAATTATAAAAATTCAAATGATTAGAAATATAACAAATTAAGTTTTTAACAAAAAGTTATTGTCAATAACAATAAAAATTGATTAAACTTGGAATTTGTTTTTTTTGCAATTTATATACTCTAATTATTAAAATACCATGTTTATTATGGTTTTTACATTATTGTATACTAAATATTTAAATTTTTTAACTGTTTAAACTATTTAATTATTGTACTTTATTCCAAAATACAGTATTTTAAATATAGCATAATATTTTTATTCAATACAATACAGGTATGTGATTTATATCTATGATTCTAGAACGTAATACTCGAAAAGTGGTCATCAAACTTAATTAATCAAGTGATTAATTTTAACCATATATTGCGTTAATTGTAACTAATTTCTTAAAGCAAAATTCACTATAAATACAAAATTTATGAATCAATTTTAATCAATATGACCAATACAATTTTGATTTCATAAATGTAATCATAAATTAACTGTAAATTCTTAAGTAATTAAATCTTAATTACTCCAAACGATTAGCAAATTATTTCCTCACTTTTCTCCACCTTTCATAAAATAATGGTAAAAGTTTTCGTGAAATAGTCGGCATATATTGGGATATATATGTAAACGCCAGGACTGGATGTATTGAAATCCATGACTAAATATTTTTAAAAATAAGTAAATTTTTAAATATGTATAATTTTGAAAACATGTAAAAAGTCAATTACTTCATCCAATTGGTTGGCAATGGCTATACCCGAAAGGTAAGCGCAACGAGACGTCTCCATCTGTTTAACAAAACTATTGTCTTTGGGCTCGTATTTAACGCCTTTATTTTCAGTCAACACATTGTCCACAATTCTCGATACTACGGGTCCGGGACATAACATTGTCACTGATATGCCCTTTGATCTAATCTCAGACCTAACGCTCTCAAAGTAACCCTTTATTTAACAATAAAGTTGCAAATAATTTAAATATTACACAATTAATTAAACAAATCAAATATGTCTTAAGTTTTGTCTTACATGTAATGCATGTTTGGATGCGGAATATGAGCTAGAATTAGGAGCCCCTGAATAAACATAATTATTAACATAACTTTAAAAAGTGTGTAATAATAATGTTTACCTAATTTGCCGGCAATGCTTGACGTGACCACAAGTTGTCCTTTAATGTTGTTTTGTAGAAAATATCTCAATACGATTCGAGTTATATTTATGAGTCCAAACACATTGATATCAAACATCTCTTTGTCGACAGTAATGTCAGTGTTGGCAAAGTCTGCTCTTTGACCCCTCCCTGCGTTCGACACCAATATATCGATCTTTGTATTTGATAAATGTTATAATTATTAAACTGATTTACAAATAATTAAATTAAAAATATTAAATACCGTTTTAAAGTGAGATATGAGTGAATTGAATTGCTTTTGGTGTTCATTAAGATCTGTGACATTAAAACTAAGGACCAGAATATCGTCTTCTTTTAAGTTATTCATAACTAAATGCAATAAAATTCTTTTGATTAGATATTCTGTAGAATATAGTCAACTGAAGTGATGAATGACTTACGAATGCATTTTTTCTTAACTTCTTGGAGTCGGGACTCATTGGTTCCAGAAATGGCTAGTTTTACGCCATTTGCCGCCAATTCATACGCCAATGACTCTCCGATACCACTGGAGGCTCCGGTAATCCACACAACTTTACCCCGAAGTTTGCCTTTAAAAACATTTCACTTTATTTATTGCATATATTTTGAGTAAACTTCAGGTGAAAAATGGTTACAAATATTTGGATTGTCATAAAGTTTTCGACACTAGTGTTTGTAAATTAAAAACACATGAAAAATGATGCTAAATAATTATGTAGCTAAATAACTTAATAAATTGTTGGCTATTTTACGAACATTAGTTTCGAGTTTTTCAACAATTAAAATATGTTCCCTCTCCCGGAGTTTAATTACAAATAAAATCATTTGTTATATACCTATTGAATGGCCAAACTTTTCTGACCACAACAATTGTAAATCACCATCAAGTTTTCCAATAAACCATAATAATATTACAATTATTATTATAGCAATTACAGCACATAACACAGACATTTTTCAGTTAACAATAATATTTAACTATTAATATTTAAAAACTTTGTAAATATAAATAAATAAACTAATGTTGAAACGTGTAGGTTGTTTTATACATAATTTGAATTAATACCATACGATAAAAATTGAGAAGATTAAGTACAGTAATATATAATGTTATTAGTGAAGGCCATTCTGTACTGATCAGTTCTTTAGTGCAATTATACTTATTATACTTTTTACACTATTTGTATAATTGTATTATTTTTCAATTTAAATAACAAATAACTTAGCACACTAAAACTTACTCGTTAGATAATATGATATAAGTCGCTTAAATATAAATGCAAATTATTTAGCATTTAAAACTTAAAATAAATTATAAAAATAAATTAATGTATAGTGAGAAATGTAACTACAGTGAACTTTCCATATAGTGGTCGAGCAGTTGGTATACATTTTTGGACACTGTATAGAATGTTCACTCTATAGAATGTGTGTGGAATAGTACTGACAATAAGTGTATATACTGTTAATACTAAAATAATCATTTATTTAGATTGTTTAATGTTATCGAGATAATAATTTAATTACAATTATTATTATAGCAATTACAGCACATAACACAGACATTTTTCAGTTAACAATAATATTTAACTATTAATATTTAAAAACTTTGTAAATATAAATAAATAAACTAATGTTGAAACGTGTAGATTGTTTTATACATAATTTGAATTACCGGTAATACCATACGATAAAAATTGAGATGATTAAGTACAGTAATATATAGTGTTCTTATTGAAGGCCATTATGTACTGATCAGTTCTTTAGTGCAATTATACTTATTATACTTTTTACACTATTTGTATAATTGTAATATTTTTCAATTTCGTGTGTTTTATTTGTTAAATAACAAATAACTTTGCACACTAAAACTTAGATAATATGATATAAGTCGTTTAAATATTAATGCAAATTATTTAGCATTTAAAACTTAAAATAAATTATAAAAATTAATTAATGTATAGTGAGAAATGTAACTCGTAGGTAAAATTATAATTGTTATCTCTGTATGAAATTTTGACAAATATCACGCTTTATATTAATAATTGGTCATAAATTTACATTGCTTTATTTATAATAAAATAATCTTATATAAAATCTAAAACAATTTAAGAAAATTAAATTTCTTGTTAAAAATAAGCTGAATCTCAAATTTTATAGACATTAAAAAGATTTACAGAATTATTAATGATATTCTTTACATAAAATAGGGAAACATTTTATGGGATGCAAAAAAACAGATTTCATGGGTTCTGTCTCCAGTTTACCTGATTGTGCTGTAAATATACAATTAAGTAAACCATTATTACATATATTAATTATATAAATAAAATACCATAACCATATTGTCAATACCGTAAACACCTTAATAATGGGTACATTTGAGTTTAAACTGAAGGTTATTGAGTGCTATACTAGTGCTATAATAGTGCTGTTAGTGCTAATAGTGCATTTTTGATTGAATCAGTTAATTTATTAACATGTACATAAACATGTAATGTATATAAACAAATGTTTTGACACATTTAAACTCATTGTGTTTAAACGTCTCAAACAAAATGTCCAAAAACTATAACAAGTTATCGGTTTTCAAGAAGAGCACTGATTTCCGAGAAGCGGTTCGAGTGGTGTCCGTCCCTCTCAACCCACCAAACGATGACGAGGTGCTCGTGAAGACCATCTATGCCGGTGTGAACGCCACTGACGTCAACATCAGTGCCGGCAGATATGATCCCAACTCGCAGTTGCCTTTTGATGTCGGACTCGAGGTATAATCTAATTTATATTTACACAATAATATGTTTAGTTTTGTCATTAAATGTTACTTTTTAATTGAAAAGGCGTTGGGAATTGTAGAAAGTGTTGGCAAAAATGTGATCACTTTTAAAGTGGGACAAAGTGTGCTCACATTTGGAGGCCCTAGGACATATGCTGAATACATTGTTAGTATCAATATTATGATTGATAGTAATTTATAACAATAATCCAAATTAAAAATTTAATAATTAAAATTTAATGAAATATTACAATCAAAAGTACGCCAAACCCGATGAGTTGATACCAATTCCTTCTCTGAAGCCTGAATTTATCGGTCTATTAGTCTGTGGTTTGACCGCAACTATTGGTTTGGATGAGGTATTCATTGAAAATACAATAAGATTAATATTTACAATTAATTTAAATAATTTGTATTAAATTTTCTAAAAGTTGGGTCGCATTCAAAAGGGAGATAAAGTGTTGATCACAGCCTCCGCCGGAGGAACGGGTCATATAGGGATCCAATGGGCCAA